AAGCTTTTTAGAAAATTATTTTTAAGTCAGTTGAATCTCTGTATATAGATGAGGCCTTTTGAAGCTATTATTCATTTATGGAAGCAAAGACTAAGGTCCTATATAGTCCCAATGAATTATTCAGTGATTTTGCAAGTCTGTGTGAAAATAGTTCCAGTTTAAATGTCAGTATCTCAATTTTTTGTTTTTACCTTATTTATTGATTTTTATTTTCATTTTATCAATGTTATGTATACACATGGTAACTAATTCCATCATTTAGAAACAAATTAACCGATGATGAAAATCAATAGGTACACTGTCCCTTTCCATCCCTAGGCTCACTCTCCAGAACAAACCTGGTATAGCTTTCCTGTTTTTAGTTCTTCTGATGGTTACCTCCGTAACTTTAAATAAAACCAGTATGTTTTTTTGTATATTAATATTGACTTATAACCTTAAGTATAGTACATGGGTGGAGTGCTTTAGATAAAGATGTATCAGTGAGAGTTTAGTTATAGGAAACATAAACCATGTTAGCTAGCCACATTAAAAAGGATTGTAAAACACGGAATGGTGAGGAGTTAGCTACGCTCCCAGCAAAAATCGGGTCCCTTTGGCAGGGTTTGTTGCAAGGGATAAGGAAATAATAGAAATGGAAAATAATAGAATATAGAAATAAAAGAAGACAGAGATGAAAGTAGTTTTTATATAGTTTTATAAAGTTGGGGGAGTCAGGAGGTCCTCCAGCATTCCTGTGAGCTGTGATGCCACGAGTAAAGTCCTGCATCAGTATTTATTGGTACAGTGATTGGTTGCCAAGGGTAACAGATTTACATAATAACAGGTAGTTCGTTTTAGGTTAAAAGTCTCCCCAAAAGCTTCTAGAGATCCCTTAACTATATCTATGTGAGCAAACGGTTACAAAATCTTTCTAAGACAAATTTCTAACTTATAAAATAAAATTAGTACTTAGCAGAAAGGCTAAACAGAAATATAGTGTCTCTATATTTCTTTATCTAGCTTTTTGTTGATTGAGACAGGTAGTCAGGAGTGAAGCAGGAACTGTCCCTTAGGCTAATTGGTTTTAGCCGCAGGTGTCTGTCAGATGGGCACTCTTTGATCAGTTCTCATCCTATGGCCCCATACCGAGCTTTGTCATACAGAAGTGTAAGCCGACAGGTCTGAAACACAACATCACCGTGGAAAGCTGCTACTGACCAGTGAGATGCCCTCCTGAGGCGAGGCAGCTTTTGATATGTGAACTAACATGTTCACATAATTCTTCAGAGCAAAGCCCTGCAAAACTCCTGAAATCTTCTATGTCTCTATAGGGCAACATTTCTATAGCGCAACAAGGGAACTGGGTGCTTGCAATGTTGTTGGAAGGGCCAGAGGAATGAGTTCAATGCGGGGTGTCTAGAATTAACTCCCAGAAAAACACCACAGGTCTGTATGGTTTGCCAGGGGAACTGCTACCTCACAATAATGAGAAAGGTGGAGAATTAGGGTTGCATCCACCACACCTCAACTGCCTCAACAATTGCAAGAATTCTGCTGCAGGGAAATTAAATGTCTCCTCAATCACGTGCCACCAGAAAACAAGCAAGAGGAAGATGGCTATCTCCTCAGTTTCGCATTCTAAATCTCACACGAGGACATCTAATTAGTAGAACCCAATTCATATCTGGAAATTTAGCTACAAAGGGAGCTTGGGGGAAATGTGGTTTTTTTCACTTTCCAGCCTCTGGGAGGCTGGAAGGCTTGTAGGAAGGCACATTAGGAGGGTGGAATGGATGGTGAATACCAGATCACTATATCTACTTATCATCTACCTCTTTGGCTAGTAAATAGCCATACATATAATTCTATGCATTCATAAACAATATATGAATATTGTTTAATATTCTGTATAATAATAGCAATGATAACATGTTAATACAAGAACCATATTTCCCTTTTTTATAAAAGGGGAGCTATAAAGATCCATCAGTCACAAGGTGGTGGTTATTCCTCCTGGTTCAGTTACACTTTGACCTTGATAAATAACCTCTATCCCAAGGACTAAATTATCAAGTTGATTATCACCAATACATTTTATTTAACGGAGCAATGTAAGAGGGGAGAAGGGCAAATTGGTTAATGTATTAATCAAATGCAGGCAGGCTGTCTTTCTACAACTGGTCATGAAGTTCTAGCTAATATTTACAACTGTCTTCCTCCACTGTTGTTCCTTAGTCCCTTTTTTGCTCAGTCAGCATCTTAACTGATCTAGATTCTTTACCTGGTAGGGTGACCCAAAGCTTCATTCCTGAGAAGTCTTGAGCCTTATAAATCCTTCTTATAGCTTTCCATCACTTTTACTACAATAAGCCTAGACATCTTCTACAATAAGCCTAACAAGTGAGTTAAACAGAACATTTCTTCATCTTCCAAAAGAGAAAGTATCACTTACCTCTGTGATTCCTCCAGGGATGCAGCATTGCTTTTGGTTTACTCTTTGGCCCTTCCTATCTTAATAGCTCTGATCCACAAATTAGGGAGCCAGGTGGACAATCTACAAGTTGATGTGTATCCCAATTGTGCATTCAGGAATGATATAACTATAGGGTAGGCTCAGGGACCCACTGGGCCACTGTAAAATGGACTTGGGCCCAAACCCAACTTTATCACCTACTCCCAACCCCACCAGCTCTGAGCTACATTGATTTTCTGAGTTTCCCAGAATTAGTATTAACTCAAGGGCAATATATGAAATTTTTGGTTTTGATCTCTTAGACTCAAGAGCTATTTATGTATGAATTTTAAATTTCTAGCTTTCTTTGTGATAAGAGAATATTCTTATTTTTAACTTTTTGGAATTTTAAGTTCTATTTCATGGTTAACATTTATAACTTTCATGAGTATTTGAAAAGTATATTATTTCTAAGATACTGACTTTGGTATTTATCAATTAGATCCATCTCATAAATGATGCTATTCATACCTCTTATTTTTTATCATTTAGCTGACATGAACCAAGAGCAACAAATAAAAATCTTCTATTAATTTGCCTGCTTCCTAATTGTTATTCGGTGCGTGACCACAATTATATAATTATGAATTGCTCCCTTTAGCATTATGAAGTATCCTTCTTTGTGTAATAGGCTTTGTCCTGATTTGACTCTTTTTATATTATGCCCTTGCTTTCTTTTTGTTTGCACTTTCCTGGTATACCTTTGTCTATCTTTTTATTTTCAGCTAATTCACTTTGCTTTAGGTGTATCTTGTATACAAGAGTTTGTGATACCATCTGAAAGTCTTTTTGTTTCAATAGGTGAGGTTAGCCCATTTATATTTATTTATTACATATATTAATATGACATATTTAGGTTTACTTCTGTCGCAAATATACTAGGCTCTTTTTGCATGTTAAAAAAATTTTCATGATGTTGCATCCAGGTGTAGTGGAATGCACCTACAGTCTCAGCTACTTGGGAGGCTGAGGTGGGAAGATTGCTTGAGCCCAGGAGTTTGAGTCCAACCTGGGCAACATAGTGAGACCCCATGTCTTAAAAAAAAAATGGTTTTCTTCAGGATGTAATGTATTCTTGCTTTGCATGTTTCTAAAATTTGTACCCAGGATTTGTTTTAAGCAGGTATGGCAAGGTGTTGGAGGCAAATGCCTTTGAGAGAATTCATTACTTACACTTCCCCAGAGAAAGGTGCATGCCACACCATACCAGGCCATGTGAGGAAGCACCAAGGTCAGTTAAGGGGCAAAGGAACAAGGGAAAAGCCTAGGCCAAAGCCTTCATTGCTATACTGGTGGGGAGTTGTTTAGGTAGGGACATCCCCCATGGCGCAGGAAGTGAAAGACAGATGTTGGGCTTTGTGGTTGGATGGTTTGTAATGTGATTTTTGCATGCCCATAAAAGCGAGATTGCAGGTGAGAGCTAAACAACTTTGGCTGTTAGTTTGGTGCTGTGATTAATGGATGTCAGATAGACAAATACAGAATTAAGAAAACATGAAACACTTTCTGCTGATAACTTAGGCTTATATCATCTTTTCTATAACTTTATACAATAGCCTTAGCCTTTGACGTTTTGTCCTTTTTTCTGTGAACAATGATGAATTAGTGTATTTCCTTTCTTCTCTTTCTCATGTCTACCACTTTAATTGGAAATATAACAGCTTTTTGTTCAATTAGGTGTTTCTGGACCAGACTTTTCTTTTGAATTCAGCAATTAGGGAGGCCCGATGAAGAATCCTTTTTTTGCTGTTCTGGTGTGTTGGGAGGGGGGCATTCTTCCACCTGTTCCTGGTTCAGAAGTGGCACTGCTCGGGCATGGAGGCAGCAGCACGTTCTTCTAGTCCCCGATGTGGCAACAGGGTGTTAGCAGTTTCTCCTTTAAGCTAGTTCTAAGGCATGATTTTACAAATCACTCCTGGAAGTTTACCCTCCTGGTTCACTAGCCTTCTAAACAAATCTGTGAACTAACCAAAATTCTTTCAAAAAACTTCTCCTGCTTCATCAGTCAGTTTCTATTGTTTGCAACCAAGAGTTTGGGCCAAACCACGCTTACTATTAAATGGATTTAAAAAAAAAAAAGAGTATTTTGTATTTGTGACATATGAAAATTTTATAAAATTCAAATTTTAATGTCCATTAATAAAGTTTTACTAGAACACAGACATGCTCATTTTTCTGAATGCTTACATGATGGACATTTTATATGTAAAACTGAAATATTCATAAAGTAAAAAATGTAACTACAAATAATTTTTAATCATATCATTTAGACAAAATAATTTATTTTTAGCCTTTTGGAGAATCAAAAAAATTAACCTATGATTTTATCACTTTTTAAATTAATTTATCATACCTAACATTTTTTTTCCTATTACAATATATTTGAGGCATCATTTTTCAGAGAACAGTGTGTGTGTGTGTGTGTGTGTGTGTGTGTGTGTGTGTGTGTGTGTATACATATATATTTTTGCATATCTTCGTTTTTTTTTATTTTTTTAAATGCAGCTGTGCTTGGAAACATATCTTCCTTATTGTGATGGCTTTAAACTGCTGATAAACCCGGAGGATCTGACTTGGTAAAGTCCTTTTACATAGTTTGAAGCTGGAAAACCTTTGGGCCTTTTTTCAAGAGGTAACCTTGGTCATTTAGTGATCCAATAAAGTGTTCAAAATCAGCAACCTGGGAGAAAACATCAAGAGTTAGCTCATTAAGTAATATACCAAAATATAACTTTTAAAATTAACCTCTCAAACCATAATAATATACAACTGTCAAGTTGCTTGGGCAAATAAAATTATTTGTACCTCTTACAGAGCAAACTGCCTACAATTCGAGCTTTGGATATCATAATGCCAAAATAAATAAAAATAAAAACTCCAATATGTAGAGACTCTTTTATATTTGTTTTTGGTTAGCTTAAAAACAAAAATTAGCTTTTGAAATTAAGGTTATTTTTCATAATGTGTAACAGTACATGTTTAAAGAGCTATTACATTGATTTTCACTAGCACTTTGAAGTATGAAGAGCGGCAGAATCATGTTCATTTAACAGAGGAGGAAGCTGAGGTTTAAAAGAGGTTAAGATGACTTATCCACAAGGGGTTTTCATAACAACATGAGACTTGAGTCTTTCTACAATGGTTCCCTCTAACTATCAAGATGCTGAAAAGCATTTGAAAAGAGGTTAAATAAATAAAAGCTATTTTGTTCTACTATACTTTAATAAAGACCCCCTGAAATTATTACAAAAAAGATTTATTAAGTATTTAGTTTATCATACCTGAATGTTGAGCTCTTTGGCAATCTGCCGAAGTTGATGAAATTGAAATAAATTATTATAAGTTCTTTCAGCAATGTTGTTGAGAGCAGAAATAAATCTTTTTGCTGATGACCTGTTGCTCATTCCAGAACCATGCTGGGATCGCTCAAAATCTAGGTTCCCAAATTCATCAGAGTAAGTTCCTAGCATGCTTAAAGGGAAGGGAGGAAAAAAAAATTACCCAATGTGACACAGCTGTACAAATTTTTGCCCTGGGCTTCCAGGTTATAAGAGGAAAAATTTGGAAGTAGCCAGAAGGCTCACGTAGCAAAAATTTAAACATGTGTTTATTAAGTGGCCACTCTGAAATTCACTTTGGTATGGACGGTTTGGGGATAAAAATATTTTGGACACAGTTAACAAACTTCTAAATTTGAAAAGAGAAATGCACAAAGCACAACATTGATCAACTACAATATAAATACCTGGAACATTCTTTCTGACCCAAGAATAAAATTCTAAACATAATAAATTTAGGCTTTTTTGAATAAAAATGTGTTCTAGCTCCTGGCGTAGTATCTGGCAAATAAAAGGTGTTTTAAAATACTGTAGGAATGAACTAGAAGGCTTATGCTGACTTGCAGTAATAATTGTTAGATATTAAAGGACACACCTATTACTGCCAGATCTCTTTTGCTTCCTCTTATTTTCACAATATCACCGAAGAAAGAAATATGTACTTGACAGTGAATTTTAGCTAGAAGTCTGAAAACACCAGTTAGACATACAATTAACCAACCTCTCTGTTCCTGCCCTATTGCTGATTCTCTCCCTGTACAATGGGACAGACATATCTCACAGTCAGGCTAACAGGCAAAGATGTCATTTAATCAGGAGTTAATTAATCAAATATATACTGGTCACTTGCTGGGCAGTGGGCTTACAGTGGTGAACAAAATAGGTACAATATCTCCCCTTTAAGGAGCTCATAGGAATGATTTTAATGAGTTACTAACAATAAAGCTTCATTTTGTTCACTGAATAGACATAGAGCCTACATTAAAGAGAATGAATTATAGGAATATGAGTCATTCAAAAGACTATAAAAATGATAAAAAAATAAGATGGATAAGTGTTTTCCTCCCTGAAATACAGTATAATCTTATTTAAGGCTTTTATGATTAATCTACCATATACTTGTTTCTCATAAGAAAGTTGTCAAAAACACTTTAGGTTAATAATAATAGGTAATATTTACCTATTTAATTATTTATCACAGGCTATCCCGTTTAATCCTCCTAGCAATCCTATGACTTAGGGACTATTCTTATTCCCATTTTACAGATGAAGAAACAAAGTCTTAGTAAGGTTAACTGACTTGCCAAAGGTTACACAACTATGAGTGGCACAGGTAGGATTTGAATCTGTGCTACACTGCTTCACATTTAAAGATTTATAAAATATTTGAGCGAGTTTCCTGAAATAGAAGAGACAATGATCTCTCACCTTTGAAGGTGGCTCTGTTCTCCTCTGCTTCCTAGCATATTTTCAATTTTAGGAGAAAACTTATGTGAACTGTTTACTAAATGTAAACATTTGGTTTTTTAAAAAAGGTAAAGCTAGGTGCTCTGCTAACTCAGATGAGCTATGTCACGGTTTAAGATTTTTCTTATTCAGGCTTCTGCTTCCCAGTTAAAAGGTAATCTTACAGGTTTAAACCCACATTAAGGGCAAAGATTCTCTTTATTTTTTTTTTAATTATCTTTTTCATTCATTACCATGACACATTTTTCAAATAAGGGCAAAGATTCAATAAAGCTGAAAAGATGAAAACTCTGAAATGGAAGATTTAATGAATGAACAATGATTCCTAAGGTCAACTTTACCAGCAATGTAATACATTTACTGAGGGCCTGCTGTGTGTCAGGCACGATTCTGGGCTCTGGGAATACATCGGGAAATGAAACAGATACGGTCACTGCTCTCATAAACTAAGGACAGAATGCATATTAAGCATAAGAAACAGATAATTTGCAACCTAATCCGAATGTGTTTAACTGGGTCTTGATCTTTACCATGGAAGTAGTGTCAGGTAATTCTGATCAAACTATTTTTTCCCCCAAAATTTTTATAAAAGCAAGTAAACACACTCAAGCAATTCAGAGAAACAATCTGGTAATCTCATATGGGTGCTGTTTACACTTAATAGTGAGACCTCTTTTTTTAGGGGCCTGAAACTAGTTCAAATTTACCAGGAAAGCAACTTTGAGAAGCAGCAGAAACAAATACAGAGTTCCACAAGGCAACACCCACATCTTCTCTTAGATGCAAAAGCACATGCAAACACTGTCTGACATGAGTATTCAGACATGCAGAGAAATATACTAAGTACAAGCCAATCATAAATGAACAATACAGCATTTTTATTGAAAAAGTAATTACAAGGTTGAGCATGGTGGCTCATGCCTGTAATCTCAACAGTTTAGGAGGCCAAGGCAGGAGGGTCACTTGAGGCCAAGAGATCGAGATCAGCCTAGGCAACATAGCAAGACTCTGTCTCTACAAAAAATAAAAAAAAATTAGCCGGGCATAGTGGTCGAGTGCCTGTAGTCAGTCCCAGCTACTCAGAAGGCTGAAGTGGGAGGATTGCTTGAGCCCAGGAGTCCAAGGTTACAATGAGCTACGTTCACACCACTGTACTCCAGCCTGGGTGACAGAGTGAGACCCCATCTCTAAAAAAAAAAAATCAATAAATTTAAAAAAAAAGAAAAGTCAATTACAGAAATAATTTACTTTGCTTAAGCATAATGCTCAGATAGGAGAACTAATCTACGGTGTCCACACAACAGTGGATTCATTGTGGAGAAGCACCACCAGATAGCTGGCGGAGCCAATGTGTGTGGTCTAAGGCCCACAGAAATTGAGTAATGGTAAAGCCTCAAAAAA